CCAAATTGCAAGGCATATTTGGATGACTTGGTGATCTTTTCTGGTGACTGGAAAGAGCATTTGTCTTTGTTGCGGACTGTGTTTGAACGTTTAGAACGTGCGTCTTTAACACTTAACCTTGCCAAGTGTGTGTTTGGTCAAGCCACCGTGACCTATTTGGGAAAGCATGTAGGAAATGGGCAAGTAAAGCCGGTAGATGAGAAAGTTGCTGCCATTACTAAGTTCCCTGTTCCTGTTACACGGCGAGAGTTAAGACGATTTTTGGGTATGATTGGTTACTACCGAAGTTTTTGTAAAAATTTTGCTACGGTAGTAACTCCTCTCACTAACCTCCTCAGCCCTAAGCTGACTTTTGTCTGGACTGAGGAATGTCAGGTTGCATTTGAAAATGCTAAGGCTTTGATGTGTACCAGTCCAGTTCTGGCAGCCCCACAGTTTGATCAGGCGTTCAAGCTGGAGGTTGACGCGAGCGCAGTCGGCGCTGGAGCAGTCCTGATTCAGGAGGGTACGGATTGTGTGGACCATCCAGTTTGTTTTTTTTCTCGTAAATTCAATAAACATCAAGCAAATTATTCTACCATCGAGAAGGAAACCCTAGCTTTACTACTAGCCTTACAGTTCTTTGAGGTCTATTTGGGTTCTTCCAGTTGTCCTACCATTGTGTTTACTGATCACCATCCCCTTGTGTTTTTGTCGCGCATGTATAATGCAAATCAACGCTTGATGCGTTGGGCTTTGTTTGTGCAGAATTATCACTTGGAAATTCATCACAAGAAGGGTTCCGAGAATATTCTTGCTGATACTCTTTCTAGAGTTTGAATGTAGGTATGTGGGTATGTTTGTGCTTCTGCTTAGTCTATATGTTCAGGTTTTTTTTTAGTTGTTGTTTTTTTTTTGTATCAAACGATGAGTTTGATCTTAAATGTGGGGGTGTTACGTCCTTTGGGACGTTTATAGTGTTTTCTTGGGGGTTTGTGTTTCTCTTTTTGGTCTCTTGTCTCTCTTACTTTCACTTTCACAGGCTGTCGCTGATTGGCTGTGTTACCTGTCAATCACTCGTAATGAGTTGAGTGGGTTTGCCTTGTGAGGCGGGATCCTCATCATCCTGATGCTTGACACCTGGAGAAGCCCTACTTAAGACGCATGCTAACACCAGGAAGAGAGAGAGATTTTTGTTTTTGCTTTGAGATGTTTTGGTTTTCTCTCCGGTTGCTTTAGTTTTGTTAAATGTTTGTTTTGTCTGTCATGTTACGCTTGCCTTTTGTTCTGAGTGCTCCCTGACACTTCTCATTCGTGAGCTCTGATTTTGTTAAACAGCTTTGCAAAGCTGGGTTAAGCGGGAAGGAGGAAGGGAATAGGTAAGATTGTCACGTGACATACATTTTGCACACTCAGTTTTCTTTTGTGTCTATATTCATTAGGTTAGGGATTTGTGCCACCCCCTGTATTTTTGTTTTCATTAGTCAGTATAGTTTATTTACGACGTCTCGGACGTTGAAGACTTTTTCTTTGATCTTTCGTTTTAGTTTAGGCTTAGATTGAAATGCTTTAGTTAGTTTCGTTTTGCTTATGTTATTTTCGTTTGTTTGGCACAAGTCCTGTTTTCCCTTTCTTCCTTTTTGCCCTGCTCACATGTAATATAAATTACTTTATCCTTATTAAATTACTTTTTATTCTATTTTGGCTGTGTCTCTCGTGATTCTCAATTCGTACAGTGTTCCATAGAGACGTTTGTCTGAACTGGTCTTGTGTTCCCCTTCTAACAATCCCAAGACGGATGAGAGCCAAAGAGGGGTCGTAACACAAGACAATAAATAAAGTAAACGATTCAGACACAGCAGGATACAACATTAAAATAGCCACAATATAAAGTTATGAAACTTCACTTTGCCGTCAGCCAAAACGATTTGCCAGGGAACAAGATTAATGAGACCAAAGATCGCCCGTTAGATATACACAAGACGAATTATATGTCATGTTTAACCACAAACGTCATAAGCACTAACCGAGTAAAGGCTGTTCCAGGCGGGGTGCAGAGCGCTGAGACCCCGGTAAAGGCTTGGATATCACAACTCCGAAAACGTCAGATCAAATTTTTAAATAAGCGCTATCTTTATAAATAAACCACAGATTTGAGCTTTCAACAACTACATTGTCGACTGAAAAACTATTAAAACTACATTTCGTGACACAATAACAGTAGTATTTTTATATTTCGCGGCTTCTCTCGTCTGTCTATGCGCGTAAGCACCAAAGTGTCTGAAGGATTGCCGTAAAGCAGGTTTCTGGTCGTACGATGTGTATGACGTCATTGACATTTTAAAAGACTTTTTAAAGCAAATAAGTGACTCTAAAAAATCTAACACCCAGCAATGTGTAATTTCTTTGCATCTTCTTTCGAATACAACATTCAAATTACTAGACAAAAAATTATATCCTGAGAAAAGTGGATTTTTAGGGGTATTGCTCCATAGACCTCCATTCATTCTGCACTCCGCCTGTGAGCGCCCTCATATGGACCCAGAGTGGAACTGCAACAGTTCAGAACCCGGAAGTTTAATGTGAGTGGGAGTTCTCCCCATATTAGACTTTCTCTGATCTTAGTAACACAACTCTACATCAATGGGCTCTATGCACGGCGGTATTTCCGGTGAAGGTCTAAGGATGCTGGATTACTTCCGCCGATCGTAGAGTCCAATGCTATACCGAGAATTTATATTGGTTTTTATACTCTATTGCTATACTAAAGAAACGTTAGTCACAAAAACAGACACTCCTCATTTTGTTTATGCTTCTGTGTTTATTATATTAAATAAACATAACTATATATAAAATTACATCTAAACGTATTAAAGTTTCGTTTCAAAGACGAGAGGACAGTAAATTTTGAAGACTCTGCCATAATACCGTTTTCCTCGGTTTTCCTCCGCTTTAAATCTCCCCAACCGGAAACGCAAGAGCAGCCTTGCGTCAAATGCGGATAGCCAGACATTATCACACGCAATGGCTATGCCGATAGATAACGTATCTAAGTTAACTGTCACCGAGGACCGCACCGGACCTCGGCAATTGTTTCATATTTAAAAAAATATTTGAAACTGGCAGCATACTGCATTCAGTATTATGATAATAACTTTATATACATGTATAGATTGGGTTGCATTGTAGGTTTAATTATGGTAAAATTCTTAACAACCCAGACCTTGCTAATTTTAAAACTGGGGTTATATGTGGAATGGCTGTTTATACAGCCAGGTCTATGTACAAACATATTTTATAACCCTGCTTTTCATGTCTCCACAGGCGAGGTGTCAAGACTGTTTTCCCAGGTACATGTTTTCTTGCTTCTTGTGTTTAGCAACACATGTTGTCACAGTTCATTTTATGCTCTTTTTTGTCATAGTTTGTCATTGTTTAATTGACCATTTCTGTTGCAGATAAGCACTGCACATCTGGAGAATTCAAGTCCACATTGCTTATGGAGTTTCCAAAACTGAAAGATGGTGGGGGGTTTGAATTGCTCAGACCATATGGTGCTACGAGGACAAAAACTTTGCAAGTCGTCCCCTGTCCATCAGAAGGGTATACACCGCATTATCTTCAAGACACCATTGGAATACATGCAGCAATTGTGTATGTAAGGCCTCTTCAGAAAGACCTTGGCATGGTATGTAACCATAAATGCCACAAGCATGCAGTAAATGAGTTTGAAAATGGAGGTGACAGTTTTTCCACTGCTTGTTTTAAGGAATCGTGTGAACCTAAATGTGGATCTGGGCCCCCTGTACAGTGCATTTACTGTGATGAAACATTTAGCCATGTAGAAATCCAGGACCATGTGGACAAATGTATCTTGTGAGTAAATGGTGACCTATGGAATTTAAGATATTGGTACCGCTATATTTCTGTAAGTCTGCATTATGTATAGTACTATATAAATGAAAAACTGATTTAAGTCATATTGAACATGTTTTCTTGCTTCTTGTGTTTAGCAACACATGTTGTCACAGTTCATTTTATGCTCTTTTTTGTCATATAACAGAAAATTTCTTCTAAAAAATAGGTCAGCAAAAGAGAAGAGCATTGAAAGAGATGAAAACAGCAGAGGTCAAAACTGTGACAGGCAGGAGATTATTGACCTTGACGTCAGTGACGAGGTTTTAGAAGAGACCTGTAGCAGCAGACAGGAGAATGATGAGCAGGTTACAGAAAGGAGTCATAGCAGCAGAGAGCAGCGTCATGATCTGGCTTTTGAAGGGACGAGTAGCAGGAGACTAGATAGCGGAGATTTGAAATTCAGCAGTGAGGATACTGAAGGTCTTTTTATGAACATAAATTTGGCAACTTGCAAATTAACATTTTATTTTTTCTGCATAAATAATTTAATACTACTAATCATATGCACATTTTTGCAGACTGGAGAACTGAGCCTGATTTGAACCATGCTGCTTACATCTTTAGACGTTTTGTACTGCAAGAAGCGGAGGATCAGCCAGATCTTGTGGCAAAGATGGATCTACGTAAAAGTCCCGAAGAGAGAGAGAGAGAAATACTGACATTTTACAAAAATTCAATGACTAACTGGGCCCGTCCATTGTCTGTTCTACTTGGAGGTAGGGTTTAATTTAGCGAAAAAGTACAGTATGGTTTCAGCCATTTACTCACCCTCATGTAATTTCAAATAAGTATGATTTTGTTTTTTATTCTTTGGAGCAAAAAAATTTATTTTAGAAACGGTCAATTACATAGAACAAAAAGTCATACATGTGTTGAACAATATGAGGTCTCATATTTCTGTGTGAATTATTCCTTTTTCCTTTCCTTTGTTTTACTTATTAAATATAACTACACAGTTGGCTGGTAAGTTCTGAAATATTTATTAGCCTATTTAATTTTGATGTAAGAGACATAAAGAAAGAAGGTTGTGTAAAATTGTTTTATTAGCATCTGGACATTTCTATATATATATTGTTTTTTAATCATCATATTTTCTAGAAAACTGTGGTAAAACATTGTTCTTTAATGGACAAGAAGACCATTTGGTGCCTTCCACTTCTCGGCTCTTACTGGATAGTGACCTTTTCCGTGTCATTGGGCGCATGATTGGACATTCCTTCCTGCACGGTGGACCCTTACTCACCGGTTTGAGCCACTCATTTTTCAATCTGTTGATTGAACAGAAGGATGAGATAGCTGTTGTAGAACTAGAGGACTGCCCTGACACCGATGTGACTGATATTGTTTTACTTGTGAGTTTAAATTCAGCATCATCTATAATGTCATGTTCAAGTAAAGGATAATCCACGGCTAGATGTGCATTAAACAATTTTAATGCACGATGTGGAGGCAAAAAAGGTTGTGTATTAAAATCGTTCAATGCACAGCTAGCCGTGGATTATGCTTTACTTATCGCACACCTTCCTAACCCAGAATCAAATATTCAGACAGACCATGGTATAATGACAAAATTTGTTATATATTGCATGCTTTAAGTGTGTCTTGAAGAACATTCTACAAATCATTTCTGATACATATCTGCTGTCATAGCTTCAAGGGTCTGGAAATTTGACAGAAGATGAACATGACCAAGTAAATAACTTGGCAATCAACTGGGATCTCTCACCAGTAAATGAGAACAACAGAAAATGGTTGGCACAAAGCATCCTTTACCATGCAGTAAGTGCCATTGATTCTAATGAATGTTTTACTCTTGACACATTATTAAAAAAAAACATTATTTATATCCTTGGAGTGGTGATATTTAGTATAACAGCACTGTTATGCTTTACTTTCTGTATCATTCTGCTTGTCTGTGTTCCTGACTTCCCAAATAGTTGGGGATTCATCGTTTATTTACTTTTGTTTAGTGACCATTTTTACAGATTTCATATTTTACATCATTAAATAATGCCAAATGAATTAATACAGGTCATTGGTCGGAGGGAAAAGCAAATTCGACAGATCAGACTGGGGTTAAAAGACACAGGAGTCTTGCATATGATCAAAGAACGGCCTGCCCTGACTGATGTTCTTTTTCCAAGAGCGTAAGCTCAAATGATTGAGCGAGAGGTATTGTTGCATTTATACCATATACGTTTCATCCATGAATTGCATTGTGTGGTTTAAATAGAGAATTGATACAGTATATACTAGATAAATCTTGGCTAGGTAATCTAATTAATTTAATTTGTCACCATTAACCCTAATTCAGGTTTTTTGATCAGATGGAATGTATAGTATTTCTTTGCTTTGTTTTTAGATGGTCCTCGACAGAATTATATGGCCAACAGTTGACAGTGACGATGAAGACTATGGTGGCTATAGTCTGGAGGACACATTCAAGATAACTGGTTTCTTTCGTCAGTACATTGAAAATGGTAGGTAAAAAGAAACCACCTCTTAATACACAATTATGAAGCATGTTTACTCTTAACTTGTACAAACCCATTTTCAGAGATGTAAAGAGTACCTTAAAACCACATTTAAGTGAAAGTACATAATACCTTAAAATGACTTCAATTCTAACAGCACTTGAGTAAAAGTCTAAAAAAAAAAGTACTTAAAGGGATAGTTCACCCAATAAAATAAGATAAAGTTTAGTAAAATTAAGTAAAGTGGGCATGCTGGTTTGGGCCTCATCACTGGCTACAGCTATTGCTGCCTTTACATGCTATCGGAATTAACATAAATACTAGTTTCCTAGTTTAAAAAATTTGACATGAATACCCTCACATGTCAAAAATTTAATGTGATGAGCTCATAATCCAACTTTAGAAGTAGAACATTTCCGAAAGCACGTGAAGGCAGCATATGTCCTCATCTCATATATGAAACACCTGCGATTCAGAAACTACCTGCTAATGCACTCACATTTGCATAAAGTAGCCTTATTGACAAGTTTGGGTGATAATAAATACATTTACTCGAATACTTTACACCACTGCCCATTTTTAAATGCGGTATTCAACCTATATGATCTTATTTTTTAAGTTGCATTCTCAATTAAATAATTCTTTTGGCAGATTATAGTGACTCCAAAAAGGATATGTACACCATGAAAGTACTCCATATGATTTGCACACTATATTTACAAGTCTTCTGAAACTATACAATGTATTATATTGTTTTATTGAACAGACTTTTAGTAATAATTCACTCTCTGAAAATCAAATATAATTGAAGATTTCTATTTTTACACAGGCACACCAGAAGAGCTGATGCCACTCATTCAATTCTGGGTGGGTTGGGGAATTCATCCTCAGAATCTATATGTAGAGGTGTCCTCTGATGTTGCAATGCCAACTGCATCCACTTGTAGAGAAACCATCAAACTCCCAGCAAAATAAAGCACTTATGAGAGTTTCCATAAGGACCTGAAAGCTGCTGTATCATCAATAGAGAGTGGGTTTGGTTTGGTGTAATTACTGTTCTGTGTACTAACATGCAACTCTTCAGCAAAAAAAAAGTTAAAAGTTACACTACCTAAAGGTCACAGTTGAAACTGCAGGTTTGCTTATTTTTGGCTGTAACAATGACGCGGTCACAATACTGGGGCATGTTTCCCCTGTTAAAAAAAAATACAGTGTTGCACCCTAGTTTGAGAAAGTAATTTATTTATTACATATGAATTATATTTTCTGTCCTATTACAATGGTAAATTAACTTCATTAGCTGTTTTGTTCAACAGTATGAAATGTCAGACAAATAAAAGTCTTTTAATTCGGATTTAATAAAATCCAGTGTTTTGTCTGGTTTCTTGAATCAACGTACAATAAACTGGCTGGAGAGTTTATACCAACATACGAAATGCTGTAAAATACAGTGCTATTTACAAAATGTCCAGTAATTGGTGAATTTTAGTGATGTGTTGTAGTATGTGTCAATGGCTTCTGAAAAGGGCACATTAGGATTCGGCAGACTACCCAATTCCTCTTCGGTCAGTTGTCGAGGTAGAGCCACTTCTGGAATTGGCACTCCATCATTATCGTGACTTGGGGGTCCATCCCAGTCGATCCCATAATATTCATCCACCTGTGTTCATTAATGAAAATCAGTCATATTGTGGGTGGAAGGAGAAAAAAAAGTTGTTATAGTCTAAAAGTATAACAGAAAAAGACGACATTAAGACATTTATGATTTTTCCTAATACAATGGCTTAAGAATTAGAGGTGCAGTATGTGATTTCTAAGAAACAAATAATTTTGTGAATATTTGCTAGATGTCTATTCTGTGTGTGTGCTGAAAAAATATGTTTGTACATAGTCCTGGCTGTTTAAACAGTAGGAAAAAAGTGGATCTGACCGAGCAACAAAACACTTTTATAGGCAATCAGCAATAGGGATGTTGATTTCAAAAATCAACAGTGTTTCTCAGAAATCGCTTATGCACTTTTAAGGGTAAATATATACCCTATATACTCCATAATATACATACATAATCTGATGTAAAAAATTATAATATATACATACATAATCTGATGTCTTACTTGAATGGTGTCGTCAGTATTGTTGGAACTGTATCTTAACCAAAGCTGGACAGGTGACTGGCTCCCAGCAGTTCTGATGCGGTGGTTGTTCCATGCATCTTTAAAGAAGGCAAGATGCCTCTGCAGTTGACACAAAAAACTCCAGTGAAGGGCAAAAATGTCAATCTCAGAATCTGGATTGAGTATTCCCTCTGTCTCCATGTTGTAGAAGATGTGATAGAACATGCTTAAAACATGTTCATACACATCTCTCCAAAGCCTCTCAATTCTGTGGGGGAGAGAGTTTAGATTTAAAACAAAACAAAAATGATGGGAATCATGTTTAGTCTGGTGTATTATACCATTTAACCTATTCAATATAGTCAGGGCTTGACATTAACGTTTTTGCTCACCAGCCACTGTGGATAGTGGTTTTTCAAAGTTACTGGCCACAATTTTGACATCGATAACATGGGGAAAAACTGCCATATATATATTTTTAATATTATCTCATTATTTGGCAGCCGGTATATTAGGCTGCTGTTGCTTTAAGACATGACGCACGGACCCATTATACTGTTTTAAATAGCGAATACACTTGTCTTTATGTGCAAGCACTTTAGGTGTGAGCACAAAATCTGCGGGAATGACAATATGCGCAATCCCTCACCCTGTAACCAACAATATTCACCCGGAGCAAATTAAACGAGTCAGTAAAGGGACGCGGGTTTGTGTGTCAACCATAGACTGTAAAGGGTGTCACTCGCTGTCGAAGTCATCATCATCCGAAATGCTTGCTAGCTGGTTTAATTCTGCTGCTATACTGGTCATAACCGCCATTTTCGCTCCTCAGCGTAACAGCGTAATTGAACCCCACCCACTCATTAACATATAATTTGCATACAGGTGTCTTTGAAAATGAAAACGAAAACGAAAACTGTGAAATAAAAGAGTAAATAAAATGACAACTAAACTTTACATTTGAACTTGAATTGTCACTATTATTGCGTGAGTGTTAATAAAAAGCTTTGTAAAAACTGCATTTGCAGTTTCTTTTGCACGTTTGCCTTTTCATTTTAGTATTGGCAGTCTTGCCTCGAGATTGTAGTGAAAATGAAACGTGAAATCACCAATTGGATTTTATTTTTCAATTTGACAGGGATGATGCACTGTCATGGTGAAAATGAAATAATTTAATTTCATTATCAATTTTGTCACATATTTTGCGTACAGTTTTCTATAATGAAATGGTTAAAGTGGTTTTATTTTTTATTTTTAACATTTAATTGATTTATTTAATTTTGGCAGAAATTGACTTCCATAAAAAAATGCCATAGGACAGTACACACGTGGGAGCAACCAATCACCTTTCGCCTGTCTCCCACTTGTAAATGTAACACGCACTGTCATTGGACAGTTAAAGAGACCATACGTCATTAGCGGGAGTTTGAAGACGGTTCGACGCAGAAATGGCAGGAGGTGAATGTGTTTTCAGAGGGATTGCGGATGATTTGTTGTCTTTACCTGATTTCTACGAAATAAATTCTCCTCTCGATTATCATTTTATATATAGAAGAGTTTCACAGTTGAGGGAAGACGTTGCAAACGCAGCGGATAGCATTCTTGAACACCAGTCGTTGGATGTAACGTTACCAGCAGAAGAGACGGCAAGATGTGTCGGTGTGTCGCTAAGGACAGTCCGATGAAAACTTGCTCATGATGGTTTGAGGTATGTAAAAGAAAATGTTGTATAATTCTTTCCTGAAAGAATAGCCTCCCATCGTCCCGTGCCTTGAACGGCCCGCTCGCTAGTTTTAACTACAGCGGTCAATCTTATGATCCTTATGAGTTTCAGCATGTCTAAACTAAACATTAGGCTGGATATTTAACGTTAAGTTACTACAGTTAAGTTGGTTACGGGAAGGTGGAAAATTCGATTGTAACTTATGTGAGTGCTTTAAAGTCCCTGTGAATTAAAGTCCCCTTACAAAATAAGCCTACAATAGCAGAAGTAAGCCCTGCTGATGAAATTAAGGTTTTAAACACTCTTCAATAATTAATAACACTGTGACGTTAAAAATCAGTATGAACGGGTCGGTGTCATTGGCTGCTGAAGACTTGGGTCTAACCATTTCTGTGAGCTTAGAGGGGTGTACCTTTCTTAGACTAGGCTACCACCAGTTTACATTCTATAGATCAGCTTATTCAGGTTTTTTGTATAACCTATATGAATAATATATTTAAATAGCAGTTTTATGACAATTTAGATAAAAATAAAATTAACTTGTTTTTCTCCACTCATGCCTTTTTGTAAATAAACACATTAGTGGACATTCTAGCTTTAACATCAAAGCATTAACGTGTGTGGGGAAATCAGTTACAGTGGAGGTAACCAATGCAGGTTTATGATCACTACAGGTTTAAGATGCAGACCACTGTAATCAATAGGCTTGTTTGAGATGAGCAAAATCTGCGCAGAACCGATCACCGGTGATCAGCGCGAGATGCATGCCGGTTAATAATGTGTCCGACTGCGTTCCGCCTGGCTCTGATGTCATGCTGACGTATGTCAAAAATCTCTCGCGAGCGCAAGGCACACCTGTCGGATTCTGCAGTCGAGCGCAGTTGCTCTCCACCGACTGCGCGGATCAAAAGCATGATGGGAAACGACTTGCTGACGACACAGCTTAATGCTCATTGGCAGCGAATGTCAGCTGATATTTTTTATCCCTTAATTCCAAGAAGTCCATTAGCCTACCTATAGCATAATACTTTTTTTTTTCTATAGTATTTTATTAGTAATTAGGACATGTGCTTTATATACCCTTTTATTTTCTTGGTTTAAAGTTCTGTTTGTTGTCATTTCTCTTTATTGTATTGCATGCTTGTGTTAATTTTGTACATTTCATTTTTGTACAACATTAATCCATTAAATAAATTAGTCAATCAAACATGCATATCTAATGTGACAGTTTTACAATAAGGCCTCATGTTTGTGTTTTTATCTGAGATCTTTATCTAGGGATGTCTTATTCCAGGAGTGCAGTAAACAAAACCCACACATGCTTGCTAATTTCTTAATTTAGAATGTGTTTTTTATATATATATTTTGAATATTAATTAGTTGTACACACTTTTATTTGTCATTAAACATGAAATCCAAATTTACATTAAGGTGACACACAATTGTGTAATATATTTATATGGACTATTTTTCACGTAAAAAAAGGGATAGTTCACCCAAAGATTTTTTTTCTTTGGGTAAACTATCCTTTAGGATAGACATCAAGTTAATCAGCTGTGCCATGTCCCACTCTGAAATGTTTAACCTATAATTAGGGATAACAATATAAATGTAATGCAGCATCTGTTTGCTCATTATTTCTCATTATGGCTTTGATTATAAAAGGCATCCACAAAGTTAACAATTGTAGCAAGATGGAGAATATGTTACTAACACTATCAGACTCCCAGGGAGCAATCACATTAACCGTAAGCAAAGAAATTGCTGAGAGAATAAAGAATGGTAAGTAAAAAAATATATAAAATTGGTTGCTTGATGATGTAAAAATAATGAATTTTATTTTTATTGATTGAAAATAGTTTTTTATAGACAAAACATATGCAGCATATATAATGCAACAAGTGAGATCTGCAACACAGAAACAAGGTAAGGCATTTTTCTTTTAACCCTCTGGGGTCTGAGGTGTTTTCGGGGTCCTTGAGATGTTTTGGCATGCTCTGACATTTGTGCATTTTTCAGTTGCTTATAAACATATTAATGGCACAGGTGAAATTACACTCTATATAGCACACACAGGGCTACCATTATATGTGAGCAACATGTATGTACATGTTTGTATTTTTGAGAGAATATTGTTTATGCGTGGTTATTGAAAAAACTAAAAAATAAATTTTCTAATATATGGCCACAAATAACATACTAAATATCTGTCCACAAGACTTTTGACTAGTGGATGTTGTCGCCTAGAGTATTTGCTTCAAATTGATCTGAAAATCATTCTGGCTAATCATTCACATAAAACAATAGATTGTTTTAAATTGTGAAAAACATTTTTTTGTTTGCAAAGGCAATATGCGGATGGGCGGATCGGCCCAACCCCCTCATGAATAATTAGGCAGTTCTCACCTGAGCAGACTGCATACTAATGAGCCTTTCATTCAGGGGTGTCACACAAGAAAGAATGCAAGGACAATATATATATATAAATAAATAAATATTTATATACACACACACACACACACACACACACATATATATATATATATATATATATGTGTGTGTGTGTGTGTGTGTGTGTGTGTGTATATAAATATTTATTTATTTATATATATATATATATTGTCCTTGCATTCTTTCTTGTGTGACACCCCTGAATGAAAGGCTCATTATATATATATATATATATATATATATATATATATATATACACATATATATATATATATATATATATGTATATATATATATATATATATATATATATATATATATATATATACATATACATATATATATATATATATATATACAAACAATCAAAATATAAATGAAAGCCAAAAGCACATTTTTAGTCACACATTTTAGCCATCCACATACCATTTTTAGCCATCCACCGCGGTAAAAATAAACCAGTCGCATTTCAAAGTCGTACGCGAAATGACCGCCAGGTGGCGCAAAGGGACATTTAGCAAAACGTAAGTGGGGCTAATGTCTATTAACAGTAGCCTAAGGATGAAATACTACAAGTTATGGTAATTTCCAAATAAGCCTACAACAAATTGTTCGTCATACAGATAAGATATAATCTTTTAAAACTGTAAAAGGTTAAAGTAGGCCTACACTCACAGGCTAAAGACAAAACGTTTTCTCGCTCATGTGAGAATCAAACGTTTGGTTATTTCTCAGTAACAAAATTCATAGCCGAGCGGTAGAACTGATGGTTCATCATCAAGATGACACAGGTTCAAATCCCGCACAAACATGGTCTGCTGTATATTTTATATTTATTATTGCAGAGAGATTTGTCTAGCTCTAAAACTCTGTTACACCATACAGTTTTGTTTTATATAGGCTATATATATTTTTTTATTTATTTATTCCAGGCTCTCACGCCACCCCCCCGATTTCTCACGCTGAAGTGTCAACCCGGTCGGTCAAATTCCTGAAAGATATAGTTTATCTATAGATCTACCTGTTGAGCCACTCGTGATCGACTAGTTATACCGTAAATTAGTTAAAATATCCCGTAATCTATTTAGAGCGAGCGTGCATGCGAGACAGATATTGTGCTCCAAACCGTGCGCGCGCATGGCAGAGAGGTCTGTTCCCTACAACCTAGAGTTTTTAAAAACATGGTTTTAAGTAAAGTGTGATTTGCCAGGGGGGACTGGGATTTCCTTCTGGTCTAAACATCCCTACTTCTGCTGAATTATTTTAATCCCCACACCCCTCCCTCCACAGCTAATCAATGCTATAGGCTACTTCACCAATATCAAATATATAAAATAGAGATATGCAACAGGCACGTTTAAACGAAAAACAATAAAATCAAAACCAGCGTTTCAGTTGTTCATTAGTTCCAGTGGCCTTAATGCATGCACGGCTTTTCAAAATTTCACAAAGCGTGTTGAGATTATTTTGAATGAAATATTGAAGTTTATAATTAAGTGTTTTGGCACACCACGCCGAGTGACCCTATGCATTTTTCTAAAGTCGGGTTTTATTCTGGCATCGTGAGTTAGTGTTCGACAAACGCGGCGGCGCGTTCATTTAGATTAATTTATTTATCTCATTATTACAGCTAAAATAACTTAATAGGCGACTCCGTAATTTTTTGGTCATACAGATAAGAGTAGAGTAGCTTACATCGTTCAAAACTGTAAACTTGTATTCATATTAGGCTAACGACAAAAACAGTATATCTGTCCTCTCTGTCTCCGGGAACTGCGCGTCACAAAAATGAACCGAAAGCCACTTCAGCTCAGTCACGATAAGAAATCGGCTATGTCTAAAGCCTTTAAATGTCTAAATATTTAGGCTAATAAATGTTATCTGATTATGTAGGCTAATCCATATGAAAACGAGAGGTACAGAGGATCTACTCAAACATGCGCTTCCCAATGAGAAAATGACAAGACATGGGTGAAAATCTCGCTCTAATTAAATGTAGGCTAAATCGCCCTGAATTAAAATGTAAAAACATAATAATGTATTTGTCGAAATGTTGCGATATTGTTTCATTTAAGTTCATAATTATTCTATAAATGTTATTTAATTTAGCAGCATTACCACGAAGCACCGTGTTTCGATATTTATTTGAATAATACAAAATAAAATAAAAACTTAATTCACAAATTGCATGCCTGGTTGTAAGGATCCAAAGATCCCTGTAGACTTTAATATTAAGTGACAACAAATTCACAAGCGTTTTTTCAGATTATATTTAGTTTTGCTTGGAAAAAGCTGCCCCAAACCAGTTTTATTTCATCAATTATTGAAATAATGAAATATTTAGTAATAAACTTTTATGACAGAAATATCACTAGGCTACATGTAACTTAAATCATTTAATTCCTTCATTATCAACACTGTCTAGAATGGCGATTTAAGTGTGAATTGCGACTTCTCTTTGTGTTAAGTCAGCCTCAGACTCCGATAGCCTGTGGGGGGTTGGAGGGACAGTTGCTGGACAAAGGTGTTAATGTTCCTCTTTCATATGGAGAGTGTCGGATAGCCAGCCTGATGAGCAGGCAAAATTATTGTAAGGATAAATCTGTGTCCAAATGTAGGCCCCATATCTTATTAAATTATAAATATTGTAGTTTATTTATTGTAGCCTATTTAAAGTTTTTTTTTCACACAAAATTTCAATTGAAGTTATTGTAAGGTGAATTCAACAAGGCATGCTGTGTCTTTGAAGCAACAATTAAAGGTTAAATAATTTTTTCGTGATTTGTATGGCTGACACGCAGCGACATATACAGTATTATCAGCTGTATGATGTGTTTTTACCCTGAAATGATTAATTTCGAGAGAGAGACCCGCGCGCGCAGCGAGGGAGACTAAATAAACTTGTTAAAAAGAGATCCAGCGCGAGAGAGGCAAAGAGAAACGCATGTTTTTAATTTAATTATGTTTCTTTGGACAATTTTCGTTTTGTAGGCCTACTGTTTTAATTGTTTAATTTAGCTGTAATTTCTTTGGCAATACAAATTTAAAATGTCGCAAGAATAAGATTAGCCTAGTGTTTCTTATTTTGCATCGCAAAAGAAATAAACTCTAAACAAGATGCAACCCTGTTTTAAATTAAACAATTTAAACCTTGAAATGTTCGAACTTGGTTTCAAACTTAAGTAATTTTAGTGTTCTTTTACATTACACAATAATTTAGCAGACTAAAGACGAGCTTCTTCATTTTCATTTTCTGATCGGCTGACAATCTTCATCAGTTTTTGTCGTTTGTGCAGCGGCTGCGGTTCTACAGGAATGTAGCAAATTTATGTTGTAATGATAATCAAACAAAACTCTTGACTTTAAATAAGTAAACAGATATAAACAGTTACCTATTTAAGCATCAAGGTGGGAAAATATAAACGTAGGACAACATCGGTTAACAACATCTATGCTACATTGAGATTCGATCTCGGGTCTGTTGAAGCTCCTCGAAGCTCGTGTCGTTGCGTTGATCACTGAGCTATCGTCTGTACGCTGTTAAAGTTGTAAAGCCTCGTTCATGTAGCCTAAATGTTTTTATTGCAATGTTTTATGTTGAAATGTTTTCATTATTTATTCAATTACATTTCAGTAGCCTAATTTCAGTATTGTGATTATGAATTATTTTAACTACGTTTCACTTGTTGAATTCTTCTGCTACCAGCTTTCAATCGCTCTGAATCAGCGCGGTGCGGCAGCAGATTACGCATTAGAGAGAATAAACCGGAATAAACGAACACTTTTCAGAGTCTATGATTGTAGCGCCTCTTAGCGGTAAAAGGCAGCAAATACACCACACATTTTACCGCCGCGGTGGAACAGCTGATGTGGGCGTTGTCATGGCTTGCCTCGACATTTGCGTTTGAATAGCGCGCGTCGTCCGTGGGCGTGTCAGATTAACGCGTAATGAAGTGTAATGAGCTGGGGGAAAAAATACTGACAGCACTCTCTTTTCATACAGATTGCATAAACTGAGAATATTTGTTTTTTATATAAATTACTTCATTTAAAAGAAGAGAATTCAAGCTTCATAAAGAAAAACCTCTCGTGCCTGTGTGACAAGTAATCGCGGAGTTACAGTTAATCTTAGGACGCGTTTCAGAATGGACTTCACTGACAGAGAGAACGCAAAACTCGCATCATGTTTGTTTTTCTTTATTTGGTGAAAAGCACAACACTTTGTTTTTATTGTGAGTATCCACAAAAAAAATAGAAACTTAACAGGATCTAATGATGTACAACACTTATATGTAAGATCAAAATTAACAGAGTAATTTGAGTCTCTTTTGCACTGATAAGGAAAAAAGTGAGCTGGTATCGCCGGCGAGACCGCCGACCCCAGAGAGTTAACCATTATAACATTTAAAATGATCATGGGGATTTTTTTTATTATTGTGTTCTCTTTAGCAGATACTACCCACTGTCCAGCATCTCTGTCTCAGTGTGGCCCTTCTGTTACTCTGTCTCAACTTGCCCCTCCACGTCCAGCATCTCTGTCTCAGTGTGGCCCTTCTGTTACTCTGTCTCAACTTGCCCCTCCACGTCCAGCATCTCTGTCTCAGTGTGGCCCTTCTGTTCCTCTGTCTCAACTTGCCCCTCCACGTCCAGCATCTCTGTCTCAGTGTGGCCCTTCTGTTACTCTGTCTCAACTTCCCCCTCCACGTCCAGCATCTCTGTCTCAGTGTGGCCCTTCTGTTACTCTGTCTCAACTTGCCCCTCCACGTCCAGCATCTCTGTCTCAGTGTGGCCCTTCTGTTACTCTGTCTCAACTTGCCCCTCCACGTCCAGCATCTCTGTCTCAGTGTGGCCCTTCTGTTACTCTGTCTCAACTTGCCCCTCCACGTCCAGCATCTCTGTCTCAGTGTGGCCCTTCTGTTACTCTGTCTCAACTTGCCCCTCCACGTCCAGCATCTCTGTCTCAGTGTGGCCCTTCTGTTACTCTGTCTCAACTTGCCCCTCCACGTCCAGCATCTCTGTCTCAGTGTGGCCCTTCTGTTACTCTGTCTCAACTTGCCCCTCCACGTCCAGCATCTCTGTCTCAGTGTGGCCCTTCTGTTACTCTGTCTCAACTTGCCCCTCCACGTCCAGCATCTCTGTCTCAGTGTGGCCCTTCTGTTACTCTGTCTCAACTTGCCCCTCCACGTCCAGCATCTCTGTCTCAGTGTGGCCCTTCTGTTACTCTGTCTCAACTTGCCCCTCCACGTCCAGCATCTCTGTCTCAGTGTGGCCCTTCTGTTACTCTGTCTCAACTTGCCCCTCCACGTCCAGCATCTCTGTCTCAGTGTGGCCCTTCTGTTACTCTGTCTCAACTTGCCCCTCCACGTCCAGCATCTCTGTCTCAGTGTGGCCCTTCTGTTACTCTGTCTCAACTTGCCCCTCCACGTCCAGCATCTCTGTCTCAGTGTGGCCCTTCTGTTACTCTGTCTCAACTTGCCCCTCCACGTCCAGCATCTCTGTCTCAGTGTGGCCCTTCTGTTACTCTGTCTCAACTTGCCCCTCCACGTCCAGCATCTCTGTCTCAGTGTGGCCCTTCTGTTACTCTGTCTCAACTTGCCCCTCCACGTCCAGCATCTCTGTCTCAGTGTGGCCCTTCTGTTACTCTGTCTCAACTTGCCCCTCCACGTCCAGCATCTCTGTCTCAGTGTGGCCCTTCTGTTACTCTGTCTCAACTTGCCCCTCCACGTCCAGCATCTCTGTCTCAGTGTGGCCCTTCTGTTACTCTGTCTCAACTTGCCCCTCCACGTCCAGCATCTCTGTCTCAGTGTGGCCCTTCTGTTACTCTGTCTCAACTTGCCCCTCCACGTCCAGCATCTCTGTCTCAGTGTGGCCCTTCTGTTACTCTGTCTCAACTTGCCCCTCCACGTCCAGCATCTCTGTCTCAGTGTGGCCCTTCTGTTACTCTGTCTCAACTTGCCCCTCCACGTCCAGCATCTCTGTCTCAGTGTGGCCCTTCTGTTACTCTGTCTCAACTTGCCCCTCCACGTCCAGCATCTCTGTCTCAGTGTGGCCCTTCTGTTACTCTGTCTCAACTTGCCCCTCCACGTCCAGCATCTCTGTCTCAGTGTGGCCCTTCTGTTACTCTGTCTCAACTTGCCCCTCCACGTCCAGCATCTCTGTCTCAGTGTGGCCCTTCTGTTACTCTGTCTCAACTTGCCCCTCCACGTCCAGCATCTCTGTCTCAGTGTGGCCCTTCTGTTACTCTGTCTCAACTTGCCCCTCCACGTTCAGCATCTCTGTCTCAGTGTGGCCCTTCTGTTACTCTGTCTCAACTTGCCCCTCCACGTTCAGCATCTCTGTCTCAGTGTGGCCCTTCTGTTACTCTGTCTCAACTTGCCCCTCCACGTCCAGCATCTCTGTCTCAGTGTGGCCCTTCTGTTACTCTGTCTCAACTTGCCCCTCCACGTCCAGCATCTCTGTCTCAGTGTGGCCCTTCTGTTACTCTGTCTCAACTTGCCCCTCCACGTCCAGCATCTCTGTCTCAGTGTGGCCCTTCTGTTACTCTGTCTCAACTTGCCCCTCCACGTCCAGCATCTCTGTCTCAGTGTGGCCCTTCTGTTACTCTGTCTCAACTTGCCCCTCCACGTCCAGCATCTCTGTCTCAGTGTGGCCCTTCTGTTACTCTGTCTCAACTTGCCCCTCCACGTTCAGCATCTCTGTCTCAGTGTGGCCCTTCTGTTACTCTGTCTCAACTTGCCCCTCCACGTTCAGCATCTCTGTCTCAGTGTGGCCCTTCTGTTACTCTGTCTCAACTTCCCCCTCCACGTCCAGCATCTCTGTCTCAGTGTGGCCCTTCTGTTACTCTGTCTCAACTTGCCCCTCCACGTCCAGCATCTCTGTCTCAGTGTGGCCCTTCTGTTACTCTGTCTCAACTTCCCCCTCCACGTCCAGCATCTCTGTCTCAGTGTGGCCCTTTTGTTACTCTGTCTCAACTTGCCCCTCCACGTCCAGCATCTCTGTCTCAGTGTGGCCCTTCTGTTACTCTGTCTCAACTTCCCCCTCCACGTCCAGCATCTCTGTCTCAGTGTGGCCCTTCTGTTACTCTGTCTCAACTTGCCCCTCCACGTTCAGCATCTCTGTCTCAGTGTGGCCCTTCTGTTACTCTGTCTCAACTTCCCCCTCCACGTCCAGCATCTCTGTCTCAGTGTGGCCCTTCTGTTACTCTGTCTCAACTTGCCCCTCCACGTCCAGCATCTCTGTCTCAGTGTGGCCCTTCTGTTACTCTGTCTCAACTTCCCCCTCCACGTCCAGCATCTCTGTCTCAGTGTGGCCCTTCTGTTACTCTGTCTCAACTTGCCCCTCCACGTTCAGCATCTCTGTCTCAGTGTGGCCCTTCTGTTACTCTGTCTCAACTTCCCCCTCCACGTCCAGCATCTCTGTCTCAGTGTGGCCCTTCTGTTACTCTGTCTCAACTTGCCCCTCCACGTCCAGCATCTCTGTCTCAGTGTGGCCCTTCTGTTACTCTGTCTCAACTTGCCCCTCCACGTCCAGCATCTCTGTCTCAGTGTGGCCCTTCTGTTACTCTGTCTCAACTTGCCCCTCCACGTCCAGCATCTCTGTCTCAGTGTGGCCCTTCTGTTACTCTGTCTCAACTTGCCCCTCCACGTCCAGCATCTCTGTCTCAGTGTGGCCCTTCTGTTACTCTGTCTCAACTTGCCCCTCCACGTCCAGCATCTCTGTCTCAGTGTGGCCCTTCTGTTACTCTTGTCTCAACTTCCCCCTCCACGTCCAGCATCTCTGTCTCAGTGTGGCCCTTCTGTTACTCTGTCTCAACTTGCCCCTCCACGTCCAGCATCTCTGTCTCAGTGTGGCCCTTCTGTTACTCTGTCTCAACTTCCCCCTCCACGTCCAGCATCTCTGTCTCAGTGTGGCCCTTCTGTTACTCTGTCTCAACTTCCCCCTCCACGTCCAGCATCTCTGTCTCAGTGTGGCCCTTCTGTTACTCAGTCTCAGTGTCCCCCTCCACGTCCAGCATCTCTGTCTCAGTGTGGCCCTTCTGTTACTCTGTCTCAGTGTCCCCCTCCAGCGATTGATAATCAAGTATCCCTTGTCAAGTGCCCTGTTGAAACAAGGAAAATAAATGTCACACAAACACACAATCTTCAATCCCCTTCCCTGCAGTCAGAATTTCAAGAAACCCAACAAGGTATGAACTGTTTCTAATATGTATAAAGTTAACTATGTATAAAGTTTATCTCTCACAATTTTAAACTGCTGTTTTCATAGAATTCACACACAGGACCACGCTGCTGCTGCTTGACCTCACACAAATGCATCTGCATTTGTACTACAGAAATAAAATAGCATTTTACAAAAAGCTGGAGCAAGCCTTCAAAGAAAAAGGTTACAACATCACCAATGAAAAATTGCGCAAAAAACTTGGCAACATGATCACTACTTACAAAAGGGCTAAAGACCGGTGTCGATCAACAGGAGAGGGAAACGTTACATGGGAGTATTACAAGGTTGGTGTACTTTTTGTATTGAAATTACTGCAAATCACTGGGTTTACATTAAAAAAAATTCTAAAGCATCTCTATTTACATTGTTTTACATGTTTTCTCACAGGAAATGGAAGACTTATTTGGCAAATCTGGAGTTGGGAGTGCACCATCAGGCACAATCTGCTCAACTCCTCTGTTCAACACGACCTCATCCCAGACCAAGTCCTCAATTGCACAGGCCACAGGCTCCCAAGAACAGCCTCTCCCAGAAGCACATTCTCTCCCAGAAGAACAACCAGGTCCCTCCACTGCTATGCCCTCCAAAGAAATGCACAGAAGGAGACAAACATCCACATTCTGTGAAGTATATGAAGCACATTCAGAGAGGAGAACAGCTGCTCTTGAGTCACTAGTGCGGCCTGACTTGGAGCGCCGAAGAAGGCTTAAAGAGAGGCGGAGAAGGATGTTTGAAAAAAAATCTCTTACCTGCCTTGGAGAAATCCTTGAACAACTAAAAAAAAAATCAGTAAATCCCAGGAAATGATGATCGATCTATTAAAAAATAAAGTTTAACTATATAATCCAGGGGTCTCAAACTCAACTTAACTGGGGGCCGCTGGAGGTAGAGTCGGGGTCAGGCTGGGCCGCATCAAGTATTCCACAAAAAATAGTATTCAAGTATTCCAAAAAAGGAGCACAACTGATCCAATCTTCTCAATATTTATTATTAACGTTTCTTCTGAACTGTTCCTCTGAATTTGAACATTCCTTTCTGTACATGATTGGTTCTTCATGAGCTGTCCTTCTGACAGTTGAAGTTCATTTTACAAACTTTCTTTGTCTATAACACATATTTGTGATATTTATATTTGCTTATGTCCTTTTTATTTCCTTTATACAACACATTAATGATATTGATTTTTTTTTTTTTGGAAGGCACATTTCCTATTATACTTAGAAAAACAATTATTGCTTTGAAATACAAATATTTGCAGTCATGTCTGCCCGTCTTATTGAATTCTTTCTACACATGTATAGTGTCTCAAATTACTGACTGCACAAATCAAAGCAAACCTTCTTATCAACCTGTTGGACACATATTACAAGCTCAAAATGATTATTCTCACATTGTTTTAGAGCAGGGGTCTCTAACACGTCGCTCGCGAGCTGCCAGTAGCTCGTGGCCTGATTGGTGGTAGCTCGACAAGGGGCCGTTCACATATCGCGCTCACATATTTTGTGCGCTCAAGTTCGTTATTTCAAATATAGGCGCGCGGCAAGCGCGCTCATAATTGAAGCGACGTGCTCATTCTTTCCAGGCGCAGTATGTTTGTACTTCGCGGTTGTCTATGACAACTATTGACAACAAACCCACCGTAAGCTGTCACGAGACTATCTATGGTAAGGGATAAAAAAAACAAATTAAAAAATTTTAAACGCGGCACACGCAACGACGGGTTGCGTCAAGTAGGGGGCCACAAAATATTGGGCCGCGAGTTTGAGACCACTGATATAATCCATTTCCATGTGTATCATCATTTTATTGCTTATCACATCATTATTATAGAGAACACTAGCAGAATATGTCAATCATTTGATAGTAAGTGCTTAAAATAATCCTGTAAAATCCCATCTACCAGTTCACAAAACAGTCAAATCAAAAAGCTTCTTAAGAGAAGTTTAAATAAGTTCTTATGGAGGGAATTGTTGAAGGTGAAACAAGTAAATGTGACGTTCACAGGCGGCCACAGATTGCATCTCTATGATGTGATGCATCATTGTGAATGTGGGCTTCTGGTGGGTATGGGTCATCCTCCATAACATCTGCCTGCTGATCCTCGTCAATTTGGTCATTGGATTTCAGGCAGATGTTATGGAGGATGCAACAGGCTGTGACTGCAGAAGAAATGTTCTTTACTTTTTTCATGTGCAGACATCTGAGTCTCCTAAATTTTGATTTTAAAATTCCAAATGCATGCTCAATAACTACACGCGCAGAATTCAGTTTCCTATTGAAGTGTCTCTGCCTTACAGTCAAGTGGCCATTGTCTCTGTATGGCTTTATAAGCTGAAGCGAGAGAGGGTATGCAGAATCTCCAATTATATGCATGCCCTCAGGAACCAGGGAATGTGGATCTTCTCAAGAAGGCGGCCTACCCCTGACAAACGAAATGCCCTTGAATCATGCCAACTACCAGGGTGACCCACACTGACATGACAGAAACGCCGCTGACTGTCACAGAATCCTGTAAGAATAACAGAATAGAACTGTTTCCTATTGATATAGGCCACAGGATTCTCACAGTGAGGTTTTACAATTGGAATGTGGCATCCATCAACTGCACAGACAGTTTTAGGAAACCCAGCTTTTTCGAATTCTGACTGTGATATGTGTAGGGCTTGTCCTCTGGGCCAGGAGATGTAATGTGACAAATGTTTTATGACAAGAGAACAGAAATCATGCAGGTGTGTGGAAACTGTAGATTTGGTGATGTTAAATCTGTCTGCCACTCCTCTATAGGACTCTTGATTGGATAGAGTCCATAGAGAGGCAAGTATACTGTTTGTCAGCGGCACCTTAGTCTGCTGTTTATTCATGTAAAAAGGACCAAGTGTATTTATAAGATCCTGCATTAGGAAGAGAAAAAAAATAGTTATCATATAACAAAAACATGGACACATACATTTTCATTGGGGGGGGGGGGGGGGGGGGGTATGCCTAACATTATGTTTTGTTTGCCTGCATACCTCCACATGCCCTTTAGAAAGTCTGAAATGACTTTGAAACTCAGAAGGACTGTACAAATGGACCACATTCTCAACAAAGTGAGGAATTTTAGGGACATTCCTAGGAGAGAAAAAAACATTTCTTATGACCTCTCTCTCGAAAGCAACTTGCTATTGGCTTCATTTACGTTTTAATGAAATCCTTTAAACCTTTATTTTATTAAGTGCTGAATTATCTGCAGTCTGGACTGGTTATTTTCATTAGATCTATTCAAGTTGCAACATACCAAGACCAGATAGATTTATATCCCTACTATTTACTGAAAAAGCCATTTTAAGTAATGAGCATTTCACCTTCGGTGATTCTCCTCATCATAACCATCTTCGTGCAAAAGTAGTGGTATTTCAATTGCATCCACTTCGTCTGCGATAAAGAACGCGAACGCGATCTCTTCCATTCTCTGACGTTTGCAGTCCACAACACAGCGAGATTCAGGAAGTGTCCGTCTTGCCTGCACTTTTTTCACTCCTCCCCTCACTGCAGCCGCCTACTCTCGGCTATAATCCAGGCGAGGCGAGGCGCATCTCAAACAAGCCTAATATCTGTCTTTGGAAAACAACGTGAGATTTTGTTGTGCTTACATTTACAGCTATAGCAAGCAGGGGGCGCTTTTTCAAACCTTTTTGTTCTGAAATTGGGCACTCAGACAAACTGTAATTAGGTATACAGGTGATATTATCAATTTAAAGGAATTTAATGACTTGAAGTATTTACATATGTTATTTAAGGCTTTCAGGATTAGAATGAGAGCTTGTGCTCCGGTCAGGACAGGTATTTCTATTGCTATTTCTTTTTTTTCTTTTTCTTCGTTTTCTTGTGTAGCCTAAAGAAAATAGATAGATTGCATTTTTATGAACAAATATTTGTACCAAGATTGCCCCCTTTTGCATATTAGTACATTTACATATTATTATTTTAACAGGGACAATGGACAGTAAAGAACTGTCACAGAATTAGCTACAGAGCTAAATTTCATCTGCAGTCCCTGGCATTTGGCAGATGCTTTTATCCAAAGTGCCTTACATTGCATTTCAATGTACACATTTACATTCTTATCAGTTCTTGCTTTCCCTGGGAATCCAACCCATGACCTTAATTTTGGAAAAGTAGGAATTTATCTGTAAAACCAATCAACCCAACTCAAGATTATTAAAATATTAAAAGTTAACATTTGATTGTGGAAAAGTTTACAGATGTGGTTCTTGATCAATGCAATTGTAATGAATATCTGTTAAAACAACATAACCTTGCTTCACAGGGACCAAATTACAGAAACGTCCTATCTTAAAGGTATTGTTCACTCAATTTAAAATTCTGTCGTCATTAACTCACCCTCATGTTGTTTCAAACATGCATGAGCCTCTTTCAATGTTTGGTTACTAATATTTTAAGATTATTGGTAACCAAACATTGCTGGTCCCCATTGACTTCCATAATATTTTTTTCCATAGTATGGAAGTTCCACACAAGAAAGAAACTTTGGAACAACATAAGGGTGAGTAAATGGGTGAACTATCCCTTTAAGCCCCAAGTTATAATCTGACAAGTTCAGTGTTTTAAATTGGTTCCAAAATGAATCACAGTGGTTACTTAAGACAAGATATTACTCTGACTGAAGTTGTTTCTGCAATACAGCCTCAGGAAACCATTCCAGGTCATAATTTCAAGTCCTCCCTCAGTGTCATATATTATTAACTAATATTCAGGGAAATTTGTACTTACCTCAGACTTGTCAGCAGCTTAATATCCTTTTATCTTAGCTCCATATCCTTTATAGGGGCGGCAGTGGCTCAGTGGTTCATGTAGGTTGTCTACAAACCGGAAGGTTGGTGGTTCAATCCTCGGTTCCACCTGACCAAGTGTCGAGGTGTCCATGAGCAAGACACCTAACCCCGGCTGCTCCCGACGAGCTGGATGGCGCCTTGCATGGCTGCCGTCGCCCGTCGGTGTATGAATGAGTGTGTGAATGGGTGAATGTGAGGCAAATGTAAAGCGCTTTGGTGGCCATTGGGTCTGTGAAAGCGCTATATAAATGCAGTCCATTTACCATTTACCATATATCTTTAAACATACAATGCTTTAATAGTACAATAATGCAAATGCAATAAATTAAACTGTGCAATACTCAAATCTATATTTTCTACTATTTAGTTTCATAAGTAGAGTATATGTACAAGTAATCTTAATTTTTAAGATTTCACATACGCTTTTATTTCTTTTCTTAAATGTGAGCAATGGTGACATGACCAATTTAAACCTGGGATCAATAAATTATATCTATTATGCAATTTATTTTCCACAAATGTGATGCATCTTACCAGGTTTCAAATATAAATAAATACTGTCTATGTTATAAGGCTTATGTTATGGAGTCTTCACCTCATTCAGCACCAAATAAAATCAGTCAACCATCCATTAACATTTATATTAGGGCTGCACGATTAATGGCAATAAAACCGCACGCAATTTTACAAAGGCTGCGATATTTTATGCGCAGCTTTTAAGTGCAGTGTGGCTGACCAGTAGTAAGCTCTCACACAGACACGATAAATATGCCCCGCCGCAGAAGTAGATAACGCACGTCATTCAAGGAAATCCCTATCACTGTCGCTGAATAAACAGAAGATTGCAATGCTTTGACTTATTAAACATGACTTATAAATACACGACTGCCTTATTCTGTGTAAGAAGCCACATCATATCACAAATTATGCTCAACTGTCGTTATGAAGTGAGTTTGGAGTAAATGTTTGACGCGTGTTGCTTTTTCAAATGCATGT